ATTACAACATTCTTGGTTATTGTCAATAATTTAGGATGTTTCTCCAAAGAATAAGCCAACTGAAAGATCTGAGCTAACATTGTTTCTTGATTCAATATCATATGTTGGCATCATGGTGTCCATTGTTTGTCTTATCATCACTATAGCATCTTACCTCTTAAGCAAGTGAGCACAATGAAAGAATTTATAGAGATCACTTTTATTATAATGTGTTATAGGAAGCTAAGGTCATCTGATCATGGTCAACTACTCCTCAATCTTTGTTTTGCTCTTTTGGGCCTCTATCTCTCATTTATTGTAGCTCTTCATAGCAAAGATACAAATATTTTTTGTGCCTTTTCTGGTGCTGTTCTTCAATATTTCTTCCTTGTCACTTTTATTGTGACGGCTGCTGAAGCTATTGATCTATATATTAATCTTGTCATAGTTTTAGGTCACAAGATAGATCACTTTGTTCTGAAAGCAACTTTAGTATCATGGAGTAAGTCATTTTTACAACACACAATTTCTGTTATGTGCTTTATGACAATAAATAAGTCTATTCAGTTATTAAAAATAATTTTATTGTTATTTAATAGATCTTAACTAGGCTACATAGAGCTTTTATTGATTTGTCGATAGTACCTTTTATGCAAGCTTTCTCTTTTATAAACTAGTTGCTCCAGTTTTTGTTGTGCTGTTCTGCTTTTCTCCAGACTACAAAAGCTACATCAGTGATCCTCCAAATTTGTAAGATAATATTGATTTTATAAACATATCAAAATAATATTATTATTGTTGTTAATTCAACATGGCATAATTGTGAGTATATTTTTAATAATTGTTGTTAATTTATTGAGGTTTTTAATTGACCACAGGCCTGGTTAAAACTATTTAGAGTAGTAAACTAAAAACTATTATAGGCATTATTAATGTCGTCTTTGTTTTTAGTTGTCGTGCCTTCAAAGCACCATTTTATATTGGTGTAGTGGTTCCGTTTGTTCTAATTTATCTGTTCAATTGGATCATTTTTGTCATGATAATAGTCTCTCTTTCACGTAAAACACTTTCATTAAAACTGAATAATGTTAAAACGAAAAAGGAATCAAAAATTTTGAAGCAGCAGTTGATGATAGCAATCACTCTCTCCATCCTTTTTGGCTTTGGCTGGGGACTTGGACTGCTTGTCACTGAGGACATTTATACCAGCAAAACTGTACGTGATTTAATAGCTTCTGTTTTTGTTTTCTTGACTGGATTTCATGGTCTTTTTATTTTTGTAATATACTGTCTACGTTCTAAAGAGGTTCGATTTGTTTGGAAAAATGTTTTCCTTTGTAAAAAAGGTAAAGAATTCTCGACAACAAATTTCAATAGAATTCAAAAAACATCCACAGGCACTACAACAATGATGTCTCATAATCTGGCAGTCTCATTAAAGAAGGATCAAACTTGTAAATTTGAAGAAGGCAGTCAAATGAGAGTGCATGATTACACCAAGAAGAACGAACCAAGAGAAAAAGAATTAAATAAAAGTGAAGAGCATATTAATTTAAACTGCATCCCAAATGATGATGCACAAGCCACTTTAAGGTTTTATACTAAAAAGTACCAAGATCAATTTAATATTGGTGAAACTGAAGCAATATCCAAAGTGGATAGCAAAAGTCAAGAACCCCAATATTCTGTTGGTAATTTTGGTAACGATAATAAAAGAAACGACTCCCACGAAGTGGATGAAGAACATTTCTAAGCAAAAAAGGAATGCATGAAACTAAATAATTAATATTTTCTGTCCTATAATATACAGTGATATAATTATTGATGATTTTTGTAGTTATAGTTTTGTACTGTTTTAAATACTGATTAAAGGAAATGACTAATGCTTTTTGTGTAGTATAATTGTTCTGATTATGAGTGCTGAATTCAGTGGATTACTACTTAGCTACGCAATCAACTAAACACAGATCTATTTATATGTCTGCAGGTTTTGTGGATAAACAATAAACATAATTTACTCCAATTAATGATTCATAAAACCCAGTTCAGTATGTGACATGCATTGGGTTAAAATATCAATTTGCTATATAGCTATTGGTTTTTTATCTACTTATATTGTGTGAAAAGTTTAAGCCAATTTTGATTTTCATTTTTCTAGTTTTGAATTATTTAAACTCCAAATTTCTGAAAAATGCCCTGTAGCTCTACTCTAGCCCATGGTTTTTTTCAGAAAAATGGCTCCATAATTACCCCCAAATTTTTTTACATTTTTTGATACAAATTGATGTCCTTATGCTCTGCAGAAAGTTTGAGGTTATTATGACTTAAATTTTAGTAATGACCATCTTTTAAAACTTCAAATTTCTAAAAAAAAGTGCCCTGTACCTATACGCTATACCTGCCCATGGTTTTTTTTCAAAAAATGGCTCTGTAGTCAATCCCAAATTTTTATTACATTTGTTGATACAAATTGATGTCCTTATGCTATGCAGAAAGTTTAAGGTGATTGCGACTTCAATTTTTCAAGCTATGACCGTTTATTAAAGACCCCAAATTTTTAGAAATACCCTGTACTAAAACCCATGGTCTTTCAGAAAAATGGCTTTGTAATCATAATTGCATAGTTTGATACAAATTGATTTCCTTACAAAAATTTGAGGTGATTCCAACTTCAATTTTTAAAGTTATGACCATTTTTGAAATATAAATTTCTAAAAAATAATTTCCTGTACTATACCCATGGTCTTTTCAGAAAAATGGTTGCGTAATCACCCTCAATTTTTATTACATTTTTTGATACAAATTAATGTCCTTATGCTATGCAAAAAGCTTGAGGAGATTACAACTTCAAATTTTCAGGTTATAATATTTCTAAAAACTCCAAGTTTCGGAAATAATACTTTGTACTATATAGCCCATAGTTTATTCTAAAATTCGCCTCCTACTCACCTCAATTTTATGATACATATTGATATAATTGTGTGTAATAGTTTGAACTAATTTTGACTTCCATTCTTAAAGTTATGACTCAAAAAATGGAATAAAAATTGGCTCTAAAATTATTCCAATTTTATCTCCAAATATCTGAAAAGATGCCAGTTGCCCTATACTATAGTCGGCTCCAAAAATTACCCCAAATTTTATATGAATGCATTGTCTTTTGTTTATACTATCATAGTGTGAAATGGCAAACTAATTCCACAAGAGCTGAGAAAAAGCTTTTAAGATGTATTTGAATTGTTTTTTTTATTTGAATTGTTTTAGAATTTTTATTTGATCAAACTAAAACACAACAGAGACCAGAATTGATTTTGATCCTGCCATAAAAGTAATTGAAAAGGCATAATTTCAAATAAAAGATGCATATAGACTTAAAGTTAGTGCAGTCCAGATACATAGTCAGCCAATGGTTCATTGAGAGTATTGATTGATGATACCAAATCACTGAACACTGGCCTATCATCAGGTGATTCAGACCAACATGACATCATTATTGAGTAGCTGCATGTATAAAGGAGAAAGCATAAAAATTGAAGCATTAATAGAAATTAACAATAATGGTTAAATTATGTGCATTATCATACATTTCTTGTGAGCATGCTTCATTATTTGGATTCTGCAGTCTTCCTCCAGCATCCAGTAACTCCACTACTCCTACTGGATCTAGACCAGGATAAGGTAGTCTACCAAGACTGAACACTTCCCAGCAAAATACACCATAAGACCACTATAGAAAGAAAGAGTAAATTGTAACTAGAGCCATAGACCCTTCATTACACTATCTAGATCATAATTGTGTATAATATAAAGCTACTGACCACATCTGATTTTTCAGAGTAGAGTCCATCATGAATACTTTCTATTACCATCCATTTCACTGGTAGTTTGATGGTTGATGAGGAATCTTTCAGCTGTCTGAAGTAGTTTTCAAAATATATATATATCTGATAGGCCAAAATTAGCTACTTTAATGATACCATCACCATCAATCCTATACAAGCAAAAATGAACACAGCTCTGTGTATATATATAACATATATGTGTATATATATAACTAGTGCAAATTATGTTCTAAAATGATTGTAATGACTTACATGCAGTTTCTAGCAGCCAGATCACAATGAATGAATCTCTGTGAAGCTAAGTAAGACATTCCATTAGCAACTTGTAAACAAATAGAGAGTAACTGTTTCCTAACATTCAGTATAACATCCTCTTCACATGTATCAGCTACTGTGAGATTAAGTCTTTCTTTCTTCAAGTAAGACAATAAATTTCCTCTTGACATAAAAGGCATGACAATGCATGGAACTGGTCCAAGATCAAGACACACACCAATCAGTGGTAATACATTTAAATTATTGAAAGACATCATTATTATGCACTCATCCAGTAAGGACTTTTATTGTAAAAACCTGCAATAAAGACTTAAGCTAGATATTAATCTTTTTCAATATTTTACCTTTTAATGTCTTTACAGCAACTGCTTGTGACATTTGATTCTCTATTTTCGTTACCCCACGATAAACTATACCAAACTCACCTATAGTGTTATAGTGTAAAAATAATTCAACTTATATGAGCCAAAACTCAACAAATCTTGTCCAACAATCTCTTGCATACTAATGCTTAAACTTGATGCTATGAAATTTGACAGTTGAGTCATATACTTAGATGAAATCTCAATATTTCTGTTAAAATTTCTGTTGACGCTTTTTTCGTTGCTTTCCAAAGCTAATTTTAAACGGCATTGCAGAGCAAAAATTTTTTCAAAAATATAACAGATACTTACATAAAGAGGAATTGAATGTAATTTTCATTGTCAGCTGCTCATGGTTCCTTGTCTTCTTGATGAAGCAAGCAATAGATAATACTAGTCCAAACATTACCAGCAGCAATAAGCAAATAGTGACTGTCACTGGGATCAGAATAGATGCTAGCTGATTTAAAGGTAAAGCAGTAGATGCATTGACAGCTATAAAGCATTAAAAAGTACTTATATAAAACAAAACACTGATATGTAGCCTTACACAGCAAAAAATGCAGTTTACTTGTACACTACATGAGGTTGAATTTAAGCAAATCATCCCCATAACTTAGTTAAAAATTAGCTAGAAAGTATAATTCATATTAATAGTAAAAATGCTATCAATTAATGCTAGCAATAAATAGAGATCTACATGTATGCATGTACAGGAGTCCATGGCCATGTTGGAAGTTGGAACACTACATTTTAAAATACTAAACAATTCATAAAGTTTGTAAAATTATATACTAACATGATACTAATTACACAAATTTCGCTATATCATATTAAAGTGAAAAATTTTGGAGGGAGCTAAGTTTGGCAAATTTGACATACAGCCATTTGCCTAAACTAAAATCTACCATTATGCATATGCTTGATGGCACGTGGCCACAAAATAAAATTTGCCAATCACCAAAATTTAGCAATTTGCCTATTTCAACCCTTCAAAAATATCCTACTATACAGTAATTCATTATGAAAGTAATGTACATTTTAGCAATTATAGATCTACAATAAAAATAAGAGAACATAGTTTATGTGCATCATTATGCAATACTTACAGCTACATCTGACTCCTGCATCTTGACTATGGTTGCAGCTGTGATTCATTGTGTGTGTACAGTTAGTAAGGTAAAATTCAGTTCCATTACAATGAACATCATTCATTATAATTGATACAGTTCCTTGTCCAAAGTAAGCACTACCAAAGGCAGTTCCTATGTTGGGACAGTCACAGTGTAGTCTATAAACTTTTCTTACCTGAATCATATCCCAGCTGTCTACATACAACACTAGCATCAGTGTTGTCCCAGGAGTCATCACAGACTGCACCCCACCTTCCATTATGACACAGTTCTACTCTTCCCTCAATAGAGTTTGATCCATTAACAAGACGCACAGTACCAGGAGTACAAACTAAAGTAAACTCTCAACAAATGCAAATTGATTCTGAAACTATACCATTACATATTACTCCAGCATCCTCAGAGTGTGTACAGTTGTGGGTGGTTAAGTGGGCACAACTTGTCAAAAACTATTCTGTTCCTGTGCACTGAACATTATTTAGAAGGATACTACCATTATCCTGACCAAAGTAGGCACTTGAAATAGCAGTTCCACCTTTGATAATATATTGTAAATAACTATCACAATGAATCAACTCACTTGTTCCCCAGCCTAGTTGTCCACACACTACTGCTGCATCAGGGGAATTCCACCAATTATCACAGACAGTGCCCCAAGATCCACTAACACACAATTCCACTCTTCCTTCCCAATCATGTGAACCATTAACAATACGAATTGATCCAGTAATACATCGCGCTGTAAAGAATTGGAAAAATTATTATCTAACTTCTATGTTATACAATTTTAGAGGCCTGGTAATGATATTGATTGATACCATTGTCACAAGCAATTTGCATGTGAGATGATGTGACAAGTGGCATAGTTACATTGTGGCAACCTTGAGATTAAATTGTAAGTTGAATTTCATTATCTGCAGATTTAAATTTGTGATTTGGATTCATTTGAAAACTTGAAAATGGTTTTACATAAAAAGCTTGCTAAAGAAGCATGGTTGTTAAAAATACTGTACTTACAAATAAGGATTGAGCAGTTAATTCCTATATAGCCAGTGCCAGTACAATCACAAGTGTAATTAGAAGGACCTGAAACAAGTGTACAACTACCTCCATTCTGACAAGGACTCAGTTCACATATATTTGATAATAAGCAGGTACAGGTAGCATTTAGAGTATAACCAGCTTCACAGCTATTGTTACAAACTATATTGAAAGAACAAAAAATCATTTAGTATAACATAACTAGATCTAATTAGGATTCAATTTACTAAATTAATGCATTGAAAAGTTTGACATAAAATGAGCTAGAGTAAAAATATTGATCTTGCTCTACAGAAAAAGCAATTTAAGCTACATATTCATCATTACCAGTACATACTAGACACAGGAATACAATCAATAGTGCACCATTATAATACTTACAGACACATCTGACTCCTGCATCTTCATGATGGCGACAGTTGTGATTTGTGATGTGATTTTTTCACCACATTGCTCAAGAGTTTCTTGAACATCTTTCAGAGCATCACCGAACAATTGAAGTCCTGTAGATTAAATACAATTATTATTATGTACAAAATTTAGCCATAATACCCTCAAAAAATAATTGATTGCCCACTGGCCATTAATGACTAAATACAGATATAAAAGTAATAAAATGGAGAGCCATTTTTGATAAGATACCACCATACTTATTGTGGTCTTTACCTCTGGCCAACTTATAAATCAATTTTTAAAATCTCAATATAAGCACTGCAGTGATCAGAAAGTGTAATAAAATAAATTGTTTTCTCCAGCCTACTGACAGGATATGTACATTTTACATCTACTAGAGTTTTAATGGGTGGGTGCACCAATCTCAAAATTTGACCCCTTGTTCCCGAAAAAAAGAACCTTACATTATAAGCAAATTAATACAAACAAAGACTATTAGAATTTATTGCATTAAATACACCAGTATTATTCCATTCCTGTCTGAACTGCATTCATTTACATGTATGTGCCTGAGTACAATTCACATTTCACTCACCTTTAATTATCTGTCGGTCTTCAAAAGCTTTAAAGGATTCTTTAAAAGCATCAATAGTGTTGTTGCCATCTCTAACACAAGCTGTTATGTTAGTGTCTAGATTGCCCAGCCCTCTAGCTATCCCTTGATAAAGGAGTACCCACTCTGCTTCATTCACTGCACCTGTTACCTTTGCACTAGTTTCTATCACACTCACAAACTCCTTATTAACACTAGAAAGTATAGAAGAGAAAGTGATGATTAAGTGGAATACCATACAGAAGCAGAATTACTAAAACTTATAATCCCCACTACATATTCACAATATCATTATAGTACTAGATATAACAATTGTTCTACATTATTACTTACAGATAGCGATAGTCGTATTGTCCATCAGGTAGGAATGCTCCAAGCTCCACTTTGCCTTCAGGCACTGGATCAGCGAGAGGGTTTTGAGTACCTCCCACGTACA